CTAACTCCTGGCCTACAGTGCTCAGCCTGGCAGGGGGCAAGAGCAAAGAGCGCTTTGGATCTGCTTAATTTCAGCTTGACATTTGGCGGTGGCGAATAAAATTAAAATATTGCCCATCAGGGGATTTTTTTTTAAATGTTTACATATTTTTCTAAAAGGTTTGAATTGGCTGGAGAGGAGGCGAAGGAATCCATTAAGTGATAGTGCCAAGGGAAACCTTCCCTGGGGTGTTGATGAGGAGTGAGCTCCCCAGGGGCATAGCCGAGCTCTCCGGGGCTTTTAACACCAAGGCGTGGAGGAAACCTGGCAGGGTTCAGCCTGCCCAGCCGCCTGAGTGGTGAAGGGGATGGCAAAGAGGACCTCCTCAGGATGCTTTACCATTGTGGTCTGGTAAAGCATCATTTATGCCTGGTCTCCTTTAGCTTGGCAGCTGCCTTCAGACCCCAAACCCAGACACAGAGCAGGATATTAGTGTTAATTAACAGGTTTTATATCTCTAGTTGGCCCCTGGGTCAGCTGAGGTGACATCTGGGTGGGATAAAAGGTCCCCAGGCCATGGTGATTCATCCGGGCTGGGGCAGATGGGCGTTTGGCTGGTGAGGATGGGTGCTTCCCTCCCAGAAGTGGGGACCTAGTGCCTAGCTGCCTTTCCTAACCCATTGTCTCCATGTCTCTAGTGGTGGGACACTGCTGACCGTGACTGGCACCAACCTGGCCACCATCAAAGAGCCCAGGATCCGGGCCAAGTACTCCAGCTCTGAAAGGGAGAATGTAAGTGGTACTGGCTGGGGGCAGAGCACAAGGAGGAGGGATGCCATCCCTCAGCAACGCAGGGCAGATAGTGCATCACTTGCCCATCGGGTGTGATGGTGTGGAAGGGCTGAGGCCCAGGGCTGCCACCCAAAGAGAGGCACTGATCTCTGTGCAAAGCCTTCAGGCAGGTGCTGCCAGGAAAAATGTTGAGATCTGAGTGTGCAAAACTGATGGGAGGTTTGTGGGATATCTGCAGGATAGTGACAGAAAGAGCCTGTCCCCAGCGAGCTCCCACTTGTGACCCCTCACATATCCCATCACAGACGGAAGTCTCTCTGCCCTGGGGCAGGATGTGGTGCCTGTTGATATCACAGCACAGGACAGGAGATCGCAAGTCTAAACCCAATGTCCAGAGCTACTGATTGCAGGAGATCCTTGTGGGGTCCGATCCTGACCTCCCTGTTGGGAGCCGGGTCTGACCTCGCTCCGTGCCTCCTGCAGAACTGCACCGTCTACAACGACACCACCATGGTGTGCTACGCGCCCTCCATCGACAACCCTGTGCGAAGCCCTCCGGAGGTTGGCGACCGCCCGGATGAGATCGGCTTCGTAATGGATAATGTCCAGGCCCTGCTGATCATCAACACCACCAACTTCGTCTACTACCCTGACCCTGTGTTCGAGCCTCTCAGCCCCACAGGGATGCTGGAGCTGAAGCCCAGTTCTCCCCTCATCCTCAAGGTAAGGCAGCCTGTGCGTGGGGCAGAGGGGTAGGGATGTGTCCCTCTGCGGAGGTGGCTTTTTGTCTCTCCTGAGACAAAGTCCTGTACTGTGAGAGTGCGAGTTTGCTTTGTGTTGGATTTTTTTAAGCGTTCCTTGTTGCACGAGAACTGACAGTCTCGTTCCTTGTTCCCTCAAAGGGCAGGAACCTGCTCCCGCCGGCTGCTGGTAACTCCCGCCTGAACTACACGGTGCTGATTGGAGACACTCCCTGCACCCTGACCGTCTCCGAGACCCAGCTCCTCTGCGAGTCCCCCAACCTCACCGGCCAGCACAAAGTCACGGTAAATGCTGACACCTTTGCTTCTCGTGTCCCGTGTGTCACAGAGGGTCAGTCTTTATCCTGACACCAGCCCTGCTGTGTGCTCATCCTCGGATGAGTACCGAGTAGTCGGTGCACGTGCAGGAGCATCCTCAGGAGCCATCTTCCTGCTCCCCGGACATTGCTCTCCCTATTTACGTGTTTGTTAGGTCCAAATACTCTGTCCCCTCTCCAGCATGCTCAGCGAGGCGTTCCTGTGCCCTGGGTGGCCCTGGCTGGCGCTGTCGACAACCTCCCTTCCCCGCTGGGTGCCAAGACACAGCCTGTGCCAAGGCGGAGGGAGGCTCCCACCCCTTCTCCCTGGTGCTGGCTCACGCCGTAAGGAAGGCTCCTTTGTTCGTGGGATTGTAGCGCAGCAGTGCTCACGCTCCAGGATCCTGCCAGCTTGAAAGGGACCCAGCACAGTCCCCTCCAGGCTCCCCACCCATGGGGGAACTCACTTCACATCCCATCTGTTACTGTAATGTTGTCTGAATGAGACATCAAACTCCCTGCCCACTACGCGCGCACTGGCAGCGTGTGTCCTGCATCCCATTAAAGCGTGCTGCGCTGCTCCAGACCAGCTCCTGCAGTCCTTACTTTTTTCCACATCTTTCCTCCCCTGCCTGCACTGGAAGTCATCCCGCAGATCCCAGCACAGTGGGCACGGTGGGAAGGGCTGCCCTGGACTCGTGCCCCCTGACGCCAGGTCCATTTTTTCCCCCACCGTGGTGCAGATCAAGGCTGGGGGGTTCGAGTTCTCGCCAGGGACGCTGCAGATCTACTCGGACAGCCTGCTCACCCTGCCCGCCATCATCGGGATCGGTGGCGGGGGCGGTCTGCTCCTCCTCATTATCATCATCGTCCTCATCGCCTACAAGCGCAAGTCCCGGGATGCCGACCGGACCCTGAAACGCCTCCAGCTGCAGATGGACAACCTGGAGTCCCGGGTGGCCCTGGAGTGCAAAGAGGGTGAGGGATCTCTATGCCGTTAACGTGGGGGTCGTGGAGAGTCTCGTACCATCCCGAGGCTCAGTGTGCTCCCACCCTTTTCCCGTTGCCTTCCAGAGGGGGAATGGCAATAGGCAAAGCTGTTTTGTCAGAGGGAGTGAACTCGTTTTGAGTAGGATATGGGGATTTTTCCAGTTAAGAAATTCCCCTCCACTTCTCCAAATGGGAGAAAAGAGAGCGAGGAGTAGCGAGGGCTGCCTGTGAACGGGCAGTCGGTCTCTCATTATGTGACAGACGGATGCTGTGAAATTGGACAGAATTCCTTGTATGATCCTGCTGATAAAACCTAATTGCCCATTATCCCCCTGAGCTGGCTCCCAAGGCCCTGACCCTGCCAGCCACAGCCGCAACCAGCCCAGGCGCTGCGGATGGAGCAGGCACCGAAAACAAGATAATAAAAAGGGGAAAGAAAGAGAAACCCTTTGCTCCCCCAAATCCCCATCCCTACACATGCCTGTGGATGGCACTGGTGACAGGGAGAGGGGTGGGAGCTGGTGGAGGGGATGGTGTCTTGTCTTCCACAGCTGGCAGATAAAAGGATCTGCTTTTAATTAAAAGGCACAATCTCTTCCCTGCCTTTTCTCTTTTCTAGTCCCACCAGTTTCAGATAAGATAGCACGCCTTTCAAGCTGACGGTTTGTTTTTTCTCATCAGGCTGACGAGCCTGCAGTCCTCTGCCTGGCTTTCAGCTCCCTTTAAAGTGCCGTTAATTTGATTTTTTTTTTCTGCGGGTTTTCTACCCGCCCCCCCCCAACCCCTTTCCCTGGTGCATCTCCAGGACTCCTCTCCCGTCAGCTTTTCCCTGTAGGTGCAATTAAAGGTTCAGGACCCCCCCTGCATCACGTTCCCCCGGGAGTCACGGCTGCCTGTGCTCGGATCGGGAGGTGCCGGGGTGGGCGTGTTCAAACTCTTCTTTCAAGTAGTATTTAGGTCAAAAAGAAATGAGAACATTCTTGTGGTTTAGGCTGATGTTTTCCCCTAGAAGCTCTGGCTTTGTTCAAGCCTTGCAGTTCCTCCCTGCCCCCAGTGTCCCTGGGAGGCTGCGAGTGCTGAGTATGGGGGATTTGAACCCCCTGGGACCAGGCGGTCCTGTTCCCAAATCTGCCACTTGATTTATTCTGGGGAAGTCATCCCCACCCTCTACAGCTCAATTTCTCCATCTGTGAGATGGGGACAGCGATCACAGCCTGCCAGGGGGAGGGATGCGGAACCGATTCACACCTGGGGGTTCCCACCCATGGGATGCCAGGGATAGGGGTGCAGCAGAGGCTGGGTGCCAATGCTTTTAATTCTGCTTTTCCCACCCCAGCCTTCGCTGAGCTGCAGACTGACATTAACGAGCTGACCAACGACCTGGACGGGGCTGGCATCCCCTTTCTGGATTACCGCACCTACGCCATGCGGGTTCTCTTCCCAGGGATAGAAGACCACCCTGTGCTGAAGGAGATGGAGGTGTGGTACCGTCTGTCTGTCTGTCCCTGTAGTGTTTGACGCTGGGGACGTGCCCCTGCATGAGTCCCTGTGCCCCAGGCATCAGGCTGGAGAGATGCTTTTGTCGGAAGCTGGCCCAGCCTGGTGTGGCAAAAAGCATCTCAATGTAGATGTGGACCGGCTGCCGAATGGTTACTGCACTCTCTGATGTTAATATCAATATTTATATTAATATCATTGCTGCTGTCATTTTCTACAGCACTTGCTTTATTCAATTGGGTTTGTTTGATGCCTGACCGGCCACTCGTTTCTAGCAGGCTTGTCCGACATTGCCTGCTTGCTTGCCTCCATTTCCCGACACAGAACCCATCCTTGGCATCCTTCCCCTGCTCCCCAACCAGCTCCCTCTCCTCTCCTGGCCTCCCCACGTCTGTTTAATTTAGTGCATGCAATTGCACAGCAATTGGCTTCTCGTTTGCTGGGCTGCTGAGGCCATTCTTGATTAGAGAAAGGAGGGGGGTGACCTAAGCTTCCCCTTGCTGCTGACCCGGCACAGTAATTACTGTCGACGTGAGCTTCACAATGTATTTAGGAGAAGTAATCGGCCCTGGTGCAAGATGCACGGTCACTAATTACAATACAACAAGCTCTTACCAACTGTGAGTGCACGTGCTGATGTTGTATGCCGGCATGGCTATGGTGCGGGGCCCTGGCCCTCTGCCTGCTTGCTTTCCCTGGTCCCTAATCCCAGCTCTGGAGGGTGGTGGGGACCCCGTTTCTGTGGATTTCCCCTTGCAGCTCAGGTTTCCGGATGCTCAGAGCTGCAGCAGGCGTGAGCGTAGCCCTCCCTGGGGCATAGCCCTTCCTGTCTCTGCAAACGCTTGGCTCCTCTCTCACCTCTGCTCTTGCTCTTAAGGGTTTTACCTAAAGAGAGAGGCATAAAAAGAGTATCAGAGGAGGAATTTTGCATTGACTGTGGCAGGCTGGGTGGAAGTTCATCGACTTCCAGCTCCTAATTCAAAATATCCCACTGGAGAGAGCACATCAGCTCAGCCTGGCCTGGGAAGCAAGGAGTTAAAAGTTGCAAAGGAGAAAAAAAAAAATTCCCCAAAAGAGATTAAATAAAGCAACTACAGTTGTGTAAGCTTCATATAATTTAATCAGGTTTGCTTTTATTTGTCTCTTTACTCAGAGTGTAACATTAGCTATTGCAAGTGACGGGAAGGAAACGGCACTTGCTCACGCACACGTTAATCCGCAGCAGTGAGCACCAGGCTGTCGGTACCAGCTCCCTTTCTCTGCAGGTTTTAGGGGTGGGAGGTTTGTTCAGTTGTACAAGTTTAAGCCTGATTAAATATTTAGTTCAGTATTGTTCATTTATTTCTGCTAATGATCAGCAAGTTAAATACGGGGGCCCAGGAAGTGACAGGCACATAGGGGGCTCAGGCATTGCTGTGCTTCTTGCCATGGGGATTTCATGTCTTCCCATGCTCCCTGCCAAGGCTTCAGTGGGATGGTCACTCGTTTCCAGTCTTATCGAGATCCTGCTGCTCCAATGAAGGGAGAAAGCCTCTCAGCCCATGGTCTCTGTTGCCTGATCTTGGCTTCAAAAGCACCAGCAATGTGCAGGGGTGAGGATGCAGCATGTCTCCCTCTGCCCCAGTTTTACTGGTGGGTCTGGTAGGTCTCCAGCGCAGCCGCTGCGCTCCAGCTGGCTCTTGGGTCTTCCTGTGCTGAGGAATCAGCTGACATCTCTGCATCCCTGTACAGAGCAGCTGGTGCTGCTGAATGCCTGAGTTACCAGCATCACTGCATCGACATCCCCACGTAATCTGGAGGAAGGGACTCCAGGAAAACATAATTTAAAGCATTTCTGTTCCTAGCAGGATGTTCTCTTCTGACTTGCGTTAAGGGAAATTGAGCCAGGTGCTTGCTTGCATGGTTCCCGCAAGAGGAACCCTGAGGACGGGGGCAGAGAGGATTTATCGCCCATCACCCTTCTGGGATGCTCTGGGCAGGCGTCTCTGCTTGCCTGGGCGACGAGGGTGACAGTGATGTCTGGGTGCTCATAGCACAGGATTGTCAAGGATTGGGTGGGAAACGGGGGTTTTCGTCCAGTGTGAAAGAGTATTTTGGAGGGGGAAGTTACAACCGCGAGGAATTTCGTTGAACTGAAGCATGCTGATCCAAAGTTTTGATTGAAGTGAAATGATTTGATCTGTCAAAACCCTCTTCTTCGTTTTGAGTTGATGTTTTGAAATGAAAAGTGTTGTTTTGTCTCCAAATATCGACATGAAATGAAATTTTTCACTTATTCTCCCAATCAGGAAGACAAGGGGGGGAAAAATAATTAAAATTGACATTTTTACCACAGCAAGGCTTTTATTCAGAGGAAACCATCTTTTCTAACGGGAAAACATCGTGTTATAAAAATGTTCGTTTCCGGTAAGAAACGTGGTCAGGGCTGACCAGAGCTGGGCTGACGAGGGCAGCATGGGGGTTAAAGCATCCCAGCCCAATCCCTGCTGAGTCCTACGTGGCCAAGTATGGCCAGAAATATACCTTCAAACGTCTCAAGAGGAAAGGGAATATTTCAGGCTGTGTCTGGAGCGGGGCAGAGACAGATTTCTGCTATTTACTTCCCTGTCTGAAATCCAGCCCCTCAAAACCAGGTGGCTTTGCTGCTGGTGGAGCTCAGGGTTATGGCTTTATTTGCTTTCTGTGCAATACTTGGAGCACATGTTGCAGTGACTTGGGTGGGAATTGAGCTGCTTGTTAGCTGAAATAGAAAATTGTAATTTGCATGTGTGCTTGGGAGAGAAAGAGGGTTTGTTTATGGGGTATGGGCCTGCACACGCGTGGGAGAGAGTCTTGGTATGGAAGTGTGTGTGTGTGTATATATACATAAATATACATCGTTGCCCTGAGACTGTGTTAACCTGATGCTGAGATATTGCAGGCTAGATAATGCTTCTGGAGGAAACTGAGCTGATCTCTGAAGAGGAAGCTTAGTAGTATGGAAAGAGCAAATCCAGCTACTTTTGACCCTTTTTCATCCTTTCCTCTTGGAGGGTGAGGATGAATTCAGGATCTCATGCAGCCCAGTCGCCTTCTTCTCATCGCCCTCCTCCTCTCGCCCGTCTCCCAGCTTTGCTCTATCCTTGCAGGTCCAGGCGAACGTGGAGAAGTCCTTGACTCTCTTTGGGCAGCTCCTGAACAAGAAGCACTTCTTGCTGACCTTCATCCGCACTCTGGAGGCTCAGCGGAGCTTCTCTATGCGGGACCGTGGCAATGTGGCCTCCCTCATCATGACAGCGCTGCAGGGCGAGATGGAGTATGCCACCGGTGTTCTGAAGCAACTCCTCTCTGACCTCATCGAGAAGAACCTGGAGAGTAAGAACCACCCCAAGCTGCTTTTGCGGAGGTGAGCAACCATCTGAGAGGCTGGAGCTGTGGGATGGTGCCCAGGCTCTTCTGAGTGTGTGGGCATGAGCTGGTGTCCTTTAGGCTTTGGTGTTTGCTGTGGCAATGTCAGCACTGGGTCTGTGGTCAAGCATTTCCTTGCCTGCCTGCATGCACGTATGAGAGGGATGTGGGGCCACCCAGACCTGGGCAACTGAGGAGTTGCCCATGGGATGTTCTCGCCCTGATTTGGCTTATGTGGGTTTATGTTTTCTGGGAAAGAGGGAGCAAGATGCTCAGTGGCTGTGTAGGCTGGTGCAGGGAGGATGCATGCTTGTGTCATGTGCTGTTGCGTACTGCTGCAATGATAGTCCCACCTGCCTTCTCTTCTCCAGATGACCAGGAGGTCCCTCACACCTCTCAGGATGTGGGGCAGCTCTCACTTTGCCTGGCAGCTGCCTTGCTGCATGGGTGCCTCTGCAGGCTGGTGGCAGGCAGGAGTCCTTCTTTCCCTGCTGCCTCCTTGGGGCTTGCCCACCTTGCCGGGCACATGGGGATTTTCCTGGGAAAGCCAAGCGGATCTTCGCAAGCTGGGAGTCTTGCCGGGGCCGAGGAGGGAGTGTGAGTGGGAGGCAGCCTGCCAAGCCCTGCCATGAGTCTGCCTGGCCCATCAATATTTAACGATAGCTCTGAGCTCTCCTTCATCGCGGGCTGATGAATATTGAAAGATACACCAAGTGCTGAACAAAAACAATTAATAAGCTCCACCAGCCCAGCTCCAGGCCCTCTCTGCTGTCTTCTCCCTTCGCACGCCGTGCTGTGCCTTTCCATCTCCACCTCCACCAGCCTGGTGCCACCAGCCTCCAGTGGAGATGCAAGGATGGCTGAGAGCCACAGGGCTGGCATGTCACCAGAAAGGCTCAAGAAAACCAGAGCATCTTTCAGACAATCAGCCAATGCTCATAGCATGGCCAGACCAGACAAAACCTGTTGGGTTTTTTGTGCCTGGCCCTGGGAAGATGCCTGGAGAAGACACAGATGTGAGCTGGTCCCAGTTACGTCTCTGCTGCCTGCCTCTGGCCGGTCTCTTTAGGCATGTTGCTTTCTTACTCTCCCTGCTTCATTTATCACGTTACAAGGATGCCCTTAATTTCTCAAGCACCTCATTAGCAATGTGCCAGAGAGGGGTGCGGTGCTGAACTGTGGCTGGCCAGGAGAGGGGTTGATTTTGGAGGTGCCGACCCCCATCCCTGTTCCCCGAGCGCATCCTTAGGCTCTTCTGCCTGTCCCTCCATGACACCAGGCTTCACTGAAATATTTAAACTGCGTTTCCAGCTCCTGTGTCTCTCGGAGCGTGACGAAGCTGCTGCCATCGGAGCAAAACTCCGGAATGAAGTAAATCAATAAAATATAAATAAAAGGCAGCGCAGGGAGGCCAGTAGCTGCAGCAGTTGAGCCGTGGGAGTGGCACGGGGGCAGAGCTGGGCTGGCCCGGCGAGAGGCGGCAGCCCGAGGAAAGTTCGAGGTCCCATCGCAGGCGGAACTGCAGGAGGCTTGGGACAGGGACGAGGTCCCCTGGCCAGTACCTTGCTGGTGCCTCCCTGTCCTTTTGCTTAGCCCCGTGCTTGGGCGTGAGGGTGCGCTTACTGCCCAGGGCAACTGGATTAACATTGATCTAATTGCACAGGGCTGTTATTTATTTATTTTGTTATTGGATAATCCCTCCGTTGCTGTGGCATCTGGCTCTATGACGGATAAAGACTAACATCCGCCGGAGCCTGGGTGGTGACACTTCAGATGAGTGTTGCAGGCTTGTCAAAGGATCTGGTTTGGGGCTGAGGAGGTTGTCTGTTGAATAGCTTCAGTCCACCCTTCCCTTGGCTTTCTCCCCACATCCCTTCTCCCTTTTTATTTCCTCTTGATGGATTAATGTTTCCCGACGGGGCACAGGAAGGCTTCCGTCCCCTGGAGGCTCAAGTATTACCATTCTCTAATGTTTTAAGGAGGACTGTGCTATGCCAGGGAGGGCAAAAAGGGCTAAGCTCCATTAGCATGAGAGAAAGCCTTGGAAGGGACCCTACGACCCTGTGTCAGCTTGAATAAACTCTGGGAAAGTGGATTTCCTACCCCAGCCATCTGGCTGTTGGGAACTGCACCTGTCTCATCTGCCGGACATGGCATTGCCATTGGGTGGTGTGTGGCATTGGGCCATTGGGTGGTGTGTGGCATTGGGCAGTGGGACTCTTCCTGGTGGCTCTGAGGTTCGCATTCCTTCTGGATTTTGTTTTTTGAGTCAACCCATTTGTGTCCGTTCCTCTGGTACAACAGGAACGCAACCACGTTCGTGAGTTATTGGTATTGCTTGTGCTTTCAGGAGCATCTGTGTTTGCAAGTGGCTGATCTGATGATTAATGGGTGGATAAGCTGAGGAATCCTAACCGGAGAGGGTCAGGGGCCTGGCTGACATTTTTACTTTAAAAGGAGTGAAAGCCACTTTGAGAATAATGGGCATGTTAAAGGGAATTTTAATCTTGCGGCAGCGAGACCAGGCTGTGGTGCCAACAGGTGCATTAAGCTGCCATTGTAGGGCTACGTGGTTCACCTGAGTCCTGTGTTAGCTCAGCCCCCTCCGTGCCAGGCTGTCCCTCTCCTCTGCTGGTGCAGCGCATCGGGCTGCAGTACCACCACCTCGAGATCCCCAGGTCCTATTCTGACCCACCACGTCTCACACCCATCCTGCGAGATCCTGCTCTCCCTCTTATGCACCTGCTGTGCGGTGATGGTCCCAAACAGACACATATGACTCCACTAGACCTTCCCTGCCATGCTGCCTTGGAGCATGTTGCCATCTGGATTTGAATCATGCTTTAGGAAACTAGGGGCAATTCATAAGTTTTCTTAAGGCAGTTTTGGCTGCTTCCTTCAACTACATCTCCAAAAGCTGAGAGTCACGGCTCCATTTTTAAGCTCCTTTTTGAGCAGGTCGTTGCAGCATTGTTCACTGTAAACTCCTGCATCACCACCCCACTCTGAGGAGACACAAAGATCGGGATTTCCACCATGCAGGTGGGGAAGGGTTAAATCCAAAGCCTGGCAGTGTTTTTGCACAGTGCTCCAAAGGTGCATGGAAAACTTGAGCTTCCAGCCACTGCTCTCACTTCTTCCTCCTTTAATCCTGTTGGTTTGGGCTGAATCAGTACTGGGGATAAGTTTGACCAAAACCATGTTGGGATCAAAGTCTGCAGACGTAAATCCAGCGGTGACTTTAACCAAGGCCATGTGCTGGTGGACCAGTGCCCTCTCTGCGTTGCAGGGCTCTGCATCCCTGCCCGAGAGCCACCCATATCCTGGCCCAAGGGCAGGGGCACAGAGAGAAGTGAGGGTGCAGAGCGTGGCCTCCTAAAGCTTCACCGTCACCACTGCTGAGTGCCAAGAACCAGGTGTCCTCTTCTCCAACAGTTCTTCTGAGCAGACCTTGCACAGGATCCTGGGGAAAACTCTCTTCTTCCCTCTAGTGTTGGTGGTGATGATCCTCTTGCTCTACTGCGGGTCCTCAGCTTTGAGGCTGTGGAGATCAAGGGCTACTTACTGTGTTTCTGGGAAGTTCCATGTCACCCAGTAGTGGTGGGCCTGTGTCAGGGCAATAGTGATGTTGAGTGTGTTGCAGGAGCGGAAGTCAGAGCAGCAGCTCCCAGGTGGGGAAAGGAGCTTCCAGCTAGGTCAAGCGCTCGTTGATGTGGGAGGAGGTGCTCGTGTCATGGGAATATGAGTCAGGATCTGACCTTGCCTTGCAACCTCAGCTCTTCCTTTCAGGTTGTGCTTTAACTGAGGAGCCTGAGGTGGGTCTGGTTACATTTTACCTGGCTTAGGTGTCTCATCCAATCCTCCTGTGGGGGAGCTGCCGGGTTCCAATGGGATGCAATGCAAGAAACAAACCTCATTGAACTAGAAGGTACTAGGGAGAGGTAGAAAGCTGGTCATCCCCTGGGTGAGACTCCCCTTGGGACGAGGTTGTGCTCGGCTCTCTCTGGATCTCCAAATACGTCGGAGACCAATTTGCCTCCTGGGGGGCTGCTGTGGCTCTGTCTTGTGGATGGGCAGGCTTTTCACTAGAGCTTTTGCTATCTGCTTGAGCCCCTTTGTTTCGAGGCTCCTGCCTTTCCAGATGTGACCTTTTAAGCCAAAAATAATATAGCCAAAGTCCAAGGCTGAGGTGGCAACAGGTGAGATCAGAGACCTTCAGTATCCTCTCCTGACGACTTTGCTCTCTGCCTTCCCTACAGAACGGAGTCGGTGGCAGAGAAGATGCTGACGAATTGGTTCACGTTTCTGCTGTACAAGTTTCTGAAGGTGAGTTTGGGAAGGGATGGCAACCCCAGGTGGGCAGGGAGGTGGTTCCTGCCTCTCCGGGGCAGGCAGCGTGGTACCCGCAGCCTGGGCTGACATGCTCCTGGGTGCTGCCGCTCCCTCTGGGTGCAGGAATCGCTTTCCAGGCCTCCATTCCTATCCTGTGTTTCTGAGATGTGATTGGTGATTCTGGGTCTCCTTTTGGGAAAATAGCTGAGATTGAGAAATGAAATGCAGACTGGGATTGCTTAATGCGTAGTGAGTTTGAGAGCTTCTTAAGAAAGGTGCCTGGAGAAAGGATAAATCTGAAGCAACTCAGCTGAGTCTTGAATCCCTTTGGAGTGTTCCCTATTCCTCCCTCCTCGCCTCTGCTTGTGAAACTCAGGAGGAAGAAGCCCTGAGAGCTGGTCCTTCTGTAGGCATGACTGTGATCGGGGGATATTTCTGCCTGTTTGAGCTGTAGTTTGATGTGCTGCACTCTTCTTCCTTCATCTCTTTGACACTGAGGCTCCATGGTAGGGGAATCGTTTCCCCCAGGCATCTCCACTTCTGCTGCTGCTTCTCCTCCAAGAGGTGTCCCAGTGAAGATGGACGCCCCGCGGGGCCTGTTGGCAGCTGCGGACTCAGCTCTCTCCGCCACGCATGCAGGAGGGTGTGGAGCCCGTTAGTTTGAATTCGACTTTTTCCCAATTTCATTGGGATAGCAGAAGAGGATGCAAAAGCATAAGGGCTGATTTTACCACTGATTTCATCCAATCTGTATTATCGAGAACATTCATTCCATCAGCACCAGTGCTTCCACCTGCTAGAGCCACACCAGTGGCCTTGCGGGTGACACAGCCACAGCTCCAGCCCGTGGACCTCTGCCCTGCTCCTGCTGCTGCTTCAGGATGACAGCGGCGGGGTGAACGGTGCCTGTTGTCCTGTCGCTGCGGTGTCAGTCGGCAGAGCTGCTTCTTGGGACTCTGCCTGGTGGCAGCGCAGCAAGGCTGGGTGGCACACAGCCGTTTTTGTGGGATTTTCATCCCTCATGAAGATAAAGAGAGTTTGAACCATTTCCAGCCAAGAGATGAGAGCGAGCAGGAGTCTGTGCAGGACTCAAACGATTGTCAACAAGAGGTGATTTATAATATCGCTTACATGCGCTTGGCTTTTTGCCTCTGTCGAGGGATAGCCTGTATCTATAAAAATCTAGCTGTAGCGTGCGGTGGAGATCGCTTCCAGGGGTGGGAGAGGAGGAGGAAAGCTGTGCCATTTGTGGGGAGATGTCAAACCTCCCGACACCTCTTTGGGCTGAGGCTTTGCTCAGTGGGGCCACTCTCTGCCCCTGCAGCAGCTGTGCCCAGTGGGATCAGGTAGGACACTGGCAGACAGCTCTTTGGGCTCTGTGGGCTCGATGGGAGAAGCAGGAGTAGCTCTTGCTGTGGATAAACTCCCTCAGGGCTCCTTGAAGTGGATGAGGTTGTGCTTTGGCCGAGCAAAGGCACACAGCCTTTGAATGGCCACAGCGGCATTTGGGGATGTTGGGGGCCTGCAGGAAAGCTGGAGAGGGACTGGTGCGTAGTGATGGGACGTGGGGCAATGGCTTTAAACTGAAAGAGGGGAGATTTAGATTAGATATAAGAAAGAAACTTTTTACAATGAGGATGGATAAATCACTGGAACAGGTTGCCCAGAGGAGCTGTGAATGCCCCATCCCTGGAGGTGTTCATGGCCAGATTGGATGAGGCTTTGAGCAACCTGGTCTAGTGGAAGATGTTCCTGCCCATGGTAGGGGGGTTGGAACTAGATGATCTTTAAGGTCCCTTCCAACCCAAATCATTCTATGATTCATGTGCAGGACTCGATGCCCTTGGCCTGTCCCTGGCTGGGCTGAGGCCTGTGGGCAGATCACAGGGGCAGATTCACCTTGTTCAGAAGCTGCTTTGGACCGTTTCACGTGCCACCACTGTCCTCTATCTATCCTTGTACAGCCCTGTCCCACTTTGGAGAGGCTACTGGATGCATTGCTAGTGCAGGGCAGGTCTGAGGATGAGGAGTAGCAGGAGAGACTTGTGAGGATGGGACCAGGGCAATGCCTTTTCCTAAAGTCCTTGGGTAAGCCGTGACTTTGGCAGGGGGAATCGCCTCAAGTCTCTCAGTGGTAGCAGCAGGAGAGAGAAGTCTAATCTAGATGCACCATTACAGGAGGAACATATGCAGAGGGCTTGGATAAACCCGCTGGCTGTGAGATTGTTACGCTGGGAATCATCTCCCCAGGGAACTGGTTGAAACTCCATCGCTTCGATCACTTGAGTTAGACTGGAAGAGGCTTGAGGATGTGCTTGTGGCCTCCCCTGGGTTGGCCCCATCAGAGGAGACCCACAGGTCTGTTTCCACCTGTCCCCCAGCAGCAAGGATCACAGGTGGCATCAAAAGCAGGAGAAACCCATGGAGTAGATGGAGAGGTATCACAGCAGCCAGTTTGCCAGCAGGGAAACATATGCCTTGCACCAAACTGTGGTAATTGTCCATGTAAATGAGGCAGGCGGATGTGTCCCCAATCGGCTCTCTGCAAACCTGCCCGGAGCAGGGCCGGGTGCTCGGCATCACACGGCCGTGATGTGCTGGGGCGAGGGACGGGGACAGGGACAGGACAAGCCCCCCTGCCCAGGACAAGCAGCGCAGGGAGCCGGCGAGGGCTGGTGCTTTCACAGGGACCCTGCAGTAGCATTTATCAGACTCTTAATGAGGCACCCCGGGGAAAGGGAGAGGGATAAATCGAGACAAGCGCTGAAAAATGTACGATATTAGGTGCCTGATGAGCTAGATCTAGTCAATAGACAGTTTGAGCGCTTGCTGGCTTGCCTCAGCCTGCTCCCCACGCACCGACAGAGGTGTGGATGTGCCGTGCGTGGGGGTGTTTGCAGTCACCCTCCTCCAGCTCTGCTCGCATGGAGAGCCCCCTCCCAACAACCTGTGGGGCCACCCGTCCTCGTCTTGGCGGTCCCCTCCTGTATCTGAGCCGATGGAGATCATCTCGGGGCAACTGCCCGGCGATGGTTTCTGCAATCTCTGTTCGTTTTGGTGGTCTCTGCCATCGTCATCTGTAATGGCTCAGCGAGCTGTTGACCCATGGTGGCATCTTGGCCCAGGTCCTCAAGAGCCATTGGGAACAGTGAGGTTGGGAATGAGGTTTTGTATTTTAAGGGTAGGACTCACATTTGGGACACATGGGGAAGCCGAGCTGTAACATGGAGGATGCGCAGAGTTGGGAGAATGGGGCAGAGGGGCTGTTTCAGTTGACTTTAGGGTGCCCAACAGGTCAGAAGGAGACCAGGACCCACGGAGCCATCCCTGCCACGCACGATCCCCTAAAAGCCCACTTGGTGCTAGAGCAGTGGTGTACCCATCACCAGGACCACCGATGCCTCCATCCCCCCAGGGAGGCCATGGGGCCAGCTCTACCCCACGTATCCAAAAAGAGATCAGCCTGGCCGGTGTCCGAGCAGAGGAGTGGATGCTGTGATGCCTGGAGTGAAGCCAGGCTGTGGATGCGGGAAGGGCTGAACCCACTTTTCTTGGTGGGGATCCCCAGAGGTGGGTGCAGAGCTGCAGACGAAGGGGCAGCAGCCGTGCCTTACCTGGGGGGGCGGAAGGCTGTGGGCTGAGACAGAAGCAGCTGTGCCAGATGTGAGCAGGAATCGCACTCCAAGCTGTCCTTCATCCACACTGCTTCCGCAGACTCAGAAGTTTTGGAAGGAGATTTTACAAGCGACTGAAAGAAGCAACTGCTGGTCTTTCTGCCGCGGCTGGAGGGGTGGGTTTGGGGTGCCGTGGGAGTCCCCGAGGGCTCCCCGCTCTGCGACTGGCCTGACGCTCCCGCCTTGCCGGGCAGCTGGTAACGCGCAGCGTAGCACCCACCCACCTTGGGTCTCTCACTTTTCCAAGCTGAATTAATGAAGCCAAGTTTGCAAATGAAACATAATTTCAAAGACAGGCGTGTTGTCGGAAGGTCTGGGGATGATGTATGCCTGTTCCTGCTCGTTAGCAGCTGTCTCTTTAATTACCGCAGATGCTAACGAGATGCTAACAGCATATGGTGACAGGGAGAGCAGCCACACTTTGCACCAAAGTACAATTTATTTGTGAGGCGGCCGGAAGGGAGGGGTGAGGGCTGGTGTGGGAGAATCTGCTGGAACTTCTCCCCATACTCTCCGCTCCCTTCGCACCCTCTTTTGCCCTTAGGGCTAATGCCTGTAGCTGGAAGGGCTCGTTGGGATGCAGCTCGGGGGAGAGATTTGGGCCCTGGGTGATAAAGGAGTGTCCACTTTCACTCCTGGCACTTTCAGCCCTTCTGTGCCAGCTCATGGCTCCAGGCTGGTTGGTGCCTCCAGCCTTGGTGGATCCTTTGCTGTTGCTGATGCTGCGGGGGCTCAGCGGGCTGCTGACACGGTGGCGGTTCTTGAAAGGCAAAGGTGGTACCTGGCACCTTCTCACTCCTCCCTCTCTTCCATCCCGTCTTGCAGGAGTGTGCCGGGGAACCGCTCCTCATGCTCTACTGTGCCATCAAGCAGCAGATGGAGAAGGGCCCCATTGATGCCATCACAGGAGAGGCTCGCTACTCACTCAGTGAAGACAAGCTTATCCGGCAGCAGATCGACTACAAAATGCTGGTTAGTGCAAGCGGGAGCCTCACTGGTGCTTGCCAGGACTGCTAGGTCCAACTATTTAACAAGATCTTGCAGGCACCCAACGTACTGTGCAGAGAGTGGTTTGCCTCTTGTTCTTCTCTCCAGTGTCCCTGGAGTGCCTCTTACCCTGTCTGTGTGGTACCCATCTCAGCTAGTGTCAGATTCAGCACCTTTGCATGGCCACGTTTGCTCTTGCCGCGGAGCTGAGAAAGCCAGGCATGAACTGAATCCCCCACTGCACCTCTCCCAACAAACCCCGTGACCCTGACAGACACGGGGACAGAGATGCTGTTGAGTACGGGCTACCTGGAGCAGCCAAAGTTTAGAGCCTTGAGATTACTGAAGGAGATGGAGAGATACTTCTCTTCCTCCATATGAGCCATCCCCTCTGTCCAGCTGAACGATAAGCCAGGCCCTTCCCCTGGCTGAGCCTGCAGCTGGTTCTTCACAACTCCATCTCCACTGGGGTGGAGTTGGGAGGGGAGTGGAGCATGCACAGGCATCACTCAGGCTAGACAGGTTTTTGTGAGTTGAGCATGGTTTGCTGGCCTAGGATTCCTTCACTGACATCGTGCTGCTGTTCTGGGAACAGTTGGAAGTTTGGAGACTGGGAGAGTGAGGTGGGGAGAAAAGGGGAGCAGGAGTATGCCATGTGGCTGCACCTCTTCAGCAGCCTGGGAGGTGAGAAGACATGGCCTGTAGACAGCTGTAGCCCCATGTCCTTGGACCTGCCTTTGCAACCGGTGTGTCACATCCTCTCACTCAAGTCTTTCTGCCTCTCTGTGCTGTGCAGACCCTCAACTGCGTGAACCCTGAGAATGAGAACGCCCCGGAGATCCCTGTCAAGGTGCTGAACTGTGACACCATCACGCAAGTGAAGGAGAAGTTGCTGGATGCTGTCTACAAGGGGGTGCCCTATTCCCAGCGACCCAAAGCTGGAGACATGGACCTGGGTAAGAGAGAGGCCAAGCGCTTCCCTGTGGGGAGCAGAGGTGTGACCAAGAGCAGAAGTTCCAAAAAAACACTGTTCAAGGCACGAAAATCTGTATCTCCTACAGGAGAGGGGACCTGGCAAAACCAGAGCATTGCTGCTTGTCTAGCCCACTTCTACTGTGCTGATGGCACTGGCTGTGTGTGGGGACCCCTGGCATGAGAATTGGGTCCTGCAGGTAGAGATGATGGGGAGAGGAGCTTCCTCGGCTCTGGCTGTGGTCTGGGTTGGAGGCTTGAGGTGGCTGAGGTCCAAGGGGGCCAGAAGTGTTCGAGAACAACGTTAGTAGTCCTGTTCTTAAAGGAGGGGCAGGAGAATGAAGAGGAGAAGAGCAAAGGAAACGGTCATCAGGGTCAAAGCGATGCTGTCTTTCCTTGAGTAATTAGAAACAGCTTTTGCCCAACACCATGTTGACAGTCATTAATCCTGGGGTTCAAAAGGTGGTGGGAGGATTCTTCTGTTGATGCCCAGACTGTGCTCCTGCCCCCTTGCCTTGGCTTTATGCTCCAAGTACCCCACTAACCACGAGCCCTTCTCCCTCATGGGGACAGAGTGGCGGCAGGGCAGGATGGCCCGGATCATACTGCAGGATGAAGATGTCACCACGAAGATTGACAATGACTGGAAGAGGCTAAACACCCTGGCCCACTACCAGGTAAGGCTGTCCGTGGTGGGGAGCACTGAGCAGTCACCAGCTGCTTTGAGCTTGAGCATCTCTTCTCGCTGCTCAGCTTGGTCAGGATGGCTCTCCAGACCATGCTGCTTGTGCAGGTGCATGGCCAGGATGTCTGCAGTCATTTTCCTGCATGGTCCCCATGTTTATGGTCCTTACATTCAAAGAAGCACTAAATGGGGCATCTTCAGGACTTGTGGAGGCTGTTTCCTGCTCTGACCTTACTTTGCCATCTTCATGTCAAGGCTTCTGGTGTGTTTGTGTTCTGACCCTGCCCCGATCTGTCTCAGGGGTCTCCTTTGCAGGAGATGGATGTCTCTGGAGTGGGATGCAGCGTAGCTTCGTCCCTCCTGGGCTGGTTTCTCCCCTCTCTGAGGCTGTCCCTCCTGTACCTCTCCAGTGTCACAGCGTGCTCACACCATCTCTGCCCCCAGGTGACGGATGGCTCCTCGGTAGCGCTGGTGCCCAAGCAGAACTCGGCGTACAACATCTCCAACTCCTCCACCTTCACCAAGTCCCTCAGCAGATACGGTGAGTGCACCGGGGTGTCCTCTGCTGTGCTGGCAGGGGAGGCAGCACCAGGCTGGGCTTGCCGGCCAAGGCACAGGACAGGTGGTTGTAACTGGGGCTCATGTGAACAAAGTCCTCGAAACCCCCGGCTCTCCTGCACTGTGCTGTTTGCTCTAGTGTCAGAGAGGGAGCAGATGCCCTCAGAGCCTTCTCTCTTTGCAACGTCAGACTCAGGGGAGAAAGAGACGTGTCAGATGGCGTGCTGCTAAGGAATCCGTTCCCTTTTATTCCCCTGAAATCTAATTAAAATAGGCACAGAGGCACTTGGCACTTAAATGAGCAGAGCCGAGGACTCTGGCAGACTTGCTGGCAAGTGTGCTTCAGCCCTGGTTTGGAAGGGAACGGTGTGGTCAGCTCAGACTGATGCAGGAGGCATCTGTGATGTGATCCTGGCATCTGTGTGCTGGGAGAAGGACAGACCTCTGCAGAATCCCTTCCACCATGGTCCTGGCCCCCTGTACCTCGGCCAGGCTTAAATGTAGCCTGGCAGGCTGTGAGGACTGTCCCAGTCAAGCTCCCAGTCCATGACTGGGCAGAGGCTGGATCCCAAAGCTCCCGTTCCACTGCCGTGACAGTGTCCTGAAGCCACAGCGGAGGGAAGGGGGATGGAGGGGCTGGTGGTGAGGTGGAGGTGGGCAGGGTGCGAGTGTCCCCCTGTGCTCGGTGCTTGCAGAGAGCATGCTGCGGACAGCCAGCAGCCCCGACAGCCTGCGCTCACGGACCCCCATGATCACCCCTGACCTGGAGAGCGGCACCAAGCTCTGGCACCTGGTGAAAAACCACGACCATATGGACCAGCGGGAGGGTGACCGGGGCAGCAAGATGGTTTCCGAAATCTACCTGACGCGCCTGTTAGCCACCAAGGTATGCCATGGAGACACAGAGCTGCCGCCTGGCCTTTCACATCTGGATGGGGAGGGGTAGTGATTCAGGTTGGCCAAAAGCGGTAAGCACTGCTTTTTTAATAGCCTTCTGTTTCAGCACAGGCGGAGCTACTCTCTTTGTCTTTGGGCTTTCCTGAGCTGGAGGTGATGTTTTTGTGTGTCAGAACCCTCAGTGAATATCCCTTGAGTTGGTTTTCCTATTTGCACTCTTTGGTGTTTTTACTGTTCGCTATATCCTTGAGCAGCTGCTGGACTGCAAAGCAGAGATGCCGTGGGGCAGATGCCTCATCCCCTTTGGTGTTTGGGATAAAGCTGCAAAATCAGTGATGTGGGAAGGGTCCTGGCATCGCAGCGGGTTCCCCTTCCCTCAGCACATACAAAACCTCCTCTAGTGCCGAGTGGGTGCTGTGTGTCCGAGATGTCCCTACAGAGGAGCGGAGGGCTGTGCTGATGGTGCTGGCTCAGGATTGCAGCGACTGGGCTCAGCCATCTCCGCTGTGACGTGGCTCCCTGCCTTGTGGGACAAGGGCTTGTTCAGCAATGTCTGTCATCGGCAGGTCTTGGGCACCTTAATGGGACCCAAGAAAGACCATGATATGACACATATTCACTTGGTTTTTGCTGTATATGGTGGTTTTATTTGTATGCTTTAGAGTGCCAGATCATGCAGCGAAGGAGTGTCTGTTTCCCAGTATAAACCACTGAGAACCAGTAGAGTTAGACAGACTAAACTGTACTTCTTTTCTAGGTGGTAGGAAAACAAGTGAAATTGGTTTAAAGTCTAACCTTCAGTTAAAGACTCTTCTCTCTGCTGGCACTGGGCATTGCTGAACCACCCTTCTCTTTCTCTTCCTCAGGGCACCCTACAGAAGTTCGTGGATGACCTGTTTGAGACCATCTTCAGCACGGCACATCGTGGGAGCGCGCTCCCCCTTGCCATCAAATACATGTTTGATTTCCTGGATGAACAAGCTGATAAGCATCAGATCAATGATTACGATGTCAGGCACACCTGGAAGAGTAACTGGTAATGGAGTGGGGCAGTGGGATGGGGCGGGAGGGGGCATGGCTAAGGATATCACAGCTAGCGATACTTCCAGCCCCTCCCACAGGGAGCAGAAATATGTCCCTGGAAACCATCCAGGACTAGAGAGGCCCATATCTCTGTATGTCGGGTGTGGGTAAATCCCTTGCATGCCTTCCTGCAGTAGAAAAAAATCCCAGGAATGCAATGCTCCCCCAGCCCTTCTGTCCCCAAAGCCCAGGCTCCACACTCCAACGCCTGGAGTCATGTAGATCGAGGACCTCAGCGGCTCTGTGCCCATCTCACCTTGAGCAAAGGCAGCTGGGGCTTCTCCTCTGGAGATGCCAGCCCCAATCCTCATCTTGGCTGTCCTAAAGGTGTTACCACGCTCCCTCCCGTCGCTCAGCCGAGCGTGCCCTAACAAAGTCAGTGTAAAGCCGTGCACGCGTCTTCCATAAGCTCGCCCGCAGAGCCAGCCCGTCAGCTCTGCGGATCGCCCTCCGAAAAGCGGGGTGGAATGGCTGATGAGCCCTCTGTCAATGCCAGTGCTGGGGCCAGGGCTCGAGCAGGCTTTGGCTCCTGCTCCACAGCCCCCCCTCGGCATTTTTCTTTTCTGCTGCCTCACTGATTTCATCTCTCTGATCTTGCCGTTACTGGAGACGGGTACGTACATTCCCGTGTCTGGCATTTGTTAAATGGCAGCCAAATTGCTTTTGTATAGTTCAGTAACTGTTGGCAATTAGCAGGGCAGGAAAAGAAACATTTTTAAATGGAGATGTGAGAGCGCGGAAGTGCTTGGAACTGATTTATAACTCGTCTTTCTATATTAAAAGAAGGAATGAAAGGCAAGGGAGGAAAAAAAAGCCCCGCTCCGCAGGGGCTGGGCATGCAGACTGCTGCATACTAATGCCTGTGCTTATCTCTGGGCGCTAATTCGATGTGTGGAGCTAATTTCTCGAGGCCATTCCCTTCACAAATGAAATATGTACATGCACCCGGTACCCTCATTAGGAAAGTCCTGGGGAATGAAGTGTGTTTTGTCTAAGATAAAAGCTTTCGCTGGGTGTCGGTGCTGAGGGATGACGGAGCGCAGAGGCTTTCTGATGGGGGGAGGCCCTTAGATGCTCATGGGAGAGGAGAGGGGCAGCAGGATTGGGAAATGGAGCCCTGGAGGATGGCACACGTGTGAGGATGCAGCAAACATCCAGTCGGTGGCTTGGCCAGGAGACCTGCTGCCTCTACAGTCGAGAGCTTCGTTTCCAGCGTCTGACGCTGCCTAAATTCTCCTCTGGTGTTAAATGTGCTAATGAGTCCCTTGAGAAGTCCAGTTAACCTCCTCCTGCGACATGAGAGATGTGTGAAATGCCACACGGTGCAGTAGAGCAGCTTATTGATGCGAGAGAAGGGGACCATGCCTGGTTTGACTCGTGGACTCAGCAAGGGCTCTTCAGGATGAGCGGATCCTTGGAGAAACCGCAGATATGGGCTGCCCTGGTTTGCCTTTGGAGATGTTGGCAGCACTGAGGAATTTCTCCATGGAGAGCTGTGGTCATGTGAGGGTGGGCAAGGGAGGAGCAGCCATTTGTCCCAGGAGGTTTGCGTCCCTGGGGCACAGGGAAAAGCAACCTGCCCGATTCTGGGTCGTGGGGAGCTCCTCCTTCACTACTGGAGGTACGTGTGTGCCAGTTGCCATGCAGAGCTCACTTCAGGTGCTGACTCCTGTTTCCTTCTTCCCTCAGTCTACCTCTACGTTTTTGGGTGAATGTGATTAAGAACCCTCAGTTTGTGTTCGACATTCACAAGAACAGTATTACTGATGCCTGCCTATCCGTGGTGGCTCAGACATTCATGGACTCCTGCTCAACTTCTGAGCACAAGCTAGGAAAAGACTCTCCCTCCAACAAACTACTGTACGCCAAGGACATCCCCAACTACAAGAGCTGGGTAGAAAGGTGAGTAGACTTGGAATAGCTCCTTGCTTCACCTGGAGGACTTACAGTGGATGTAGGTGGCTGTGGGGGCTTGGGTCATTGGGAAGACTCCTCTTGGCAAGTGTCTTCAGAGAGACCATACTAACGCTTGTGGAAGGTGATCCTCTTGTTTGGGAGACGATGCGTTCTCTTGATAGTCTCCTGGAATGAGTTTGCAATGACTGTTTGACACAGCCGTTTGTGACTTGCTTAAGGGGTGCTAAAAGCAACCTCCACTTTTAGGTTGTCTGATGTTTTCTGTTGTAAAAACCTGATCTGTGCTAGGGGATTGCTAACACCTCCCTTGATTGCTTTCGAAGAGCAGTAAGAAGTCAGCCTTGGACTAGAGAAGTGCCTTTTTTGTACCGTGACAATGCAGGCAGGTTTTACTGAAATGGTTGAAAATTACCATTTCCCATTTCTCATCCATCTGTACATCTCACCTGGGATCCTGATGAGAGCGCACGCTCAGAGGCAGCACTTGGGCTGCCGTTGCTGTGCTGAGGAGCAGATCCCCCGACTCCTTCCGACACCCTCCATGTTCACTGTTAGCTGACGAGAGACATCCTTCTGTCCTGAGTGTTAAAGGTTCAGGGTTTGAATGCTACTGATTGCAAATTGACACGCTCATGCATAATGTTGTGTTTAGCTTTATCCTTTTGGGAGAGAAACCTGGGAGATGTCCTCCAAAGCCCTCCAAATAGAGCTGCTGTTAAAGTGTTGCTGTGTTGTAAAGTGGGACTTTATCACGCTTAAAAACCAACAGATTTCAGGTTGCTGTTGCAACTCTCCCCTTGTGCTGATACGCTGTGCTGTAGATCATGCTCTTTTTTTAACTGAGGACCCTTCCTTTTTTCAGCATCTGGTTCAGCATAATGAACCAACTGAAAGATGTCCAGCAACAATAAGCATCATATTCTCTAGTTTGCAAGCGTGGGACTTTGTAGCCTAAATCATCCTTCGGATTCTTGCTTGTACACAGTTATTTTTGTCGCACCATTGGCATGCCTGCTGCTTCGCAGGCAGGTACAAAGACAAGCTTCTTCCCTCGAGGAAGATAGGGCTGGGATCAGAAGAAAAAGTGCCCCTGAAATACGATGGCTGAGGTGAGAGATGAGCTGCATTGTAATAGGAGAAAGTTCTTTGTGGCGGGCTGGAGGGAGCTTTGGAGTAGGGTCCTGTAGGAACATCACAAACTTCATAAGGTGAATTCCTCTGACCTTGCCATCTCTATGACAAAAATATTCAGCTCTGTGTGTGCCCGGAGAAAAAAAGGTATAAAACCATTCCAGAGTGAAACATTGGACTAGACACACTGTGTCCCTGGGGAGGAGGTGAGAGCTCTCAGTGGTGACAGATGTTCCTGCCATCACTTACTGCTGGTACGGTCCCAGAGGCAGTCGAGCAGGGGGTAGAGCTGCCCTGAGCAGGGTGCCACTGCGTCTCCCAGTGCTCCTCTGCTGCGGAGATTTACGGCGTAATTGGCATTTCTGGCTTTTGGCACGGTTACCGTGACAAAGCTTTGCAGAGGCAGGATGGGAGCGACGCGTGGGCGACCGAGTGGGGCTGCGAGTCCCAACAGCAGGTCTGTCTGCCGCCTTGGTTCAGGCAGCAGCTGAAAAAAGGGCATCGTGCCAGTCTGAGGCAGGCATAGCATGATAAAGGGCTTGGGAGGTGGGGAGCCTGGGGAAGCCCACGGGGACTGATGCCGGAGTCGTGGCTGTGGTAGGTGTCCTCTGGAAATGGTTGGTGTGACTGAGATCTTGGTACACACGAGCCATGCACATTTGTATTACAAAATGATGGTTTCCTGCCATCCGTTGTGTCATGATAAAACCCAGAATGTAAAACTGCTGTGTGCTACCTGGACATCTTGTGGCAGGCACAAATGCTTTCTTCTTCAGCAGGTCTCGCTTGCACATTCATCTCCCCTGAGTCCCTCCCCACAGGGACCTTCACCTGCAGGGTTAAAGGGTGGCCAGGAGGGTTTTCTTTGCTAATCAAAGCTGGCTGGACCTGAGAATGTTGGGCATATTGTCCCTAATACTCCTCAGCACAGGTAGGAGTAATGTCAGCTTTAGGAGACATCAGTCTGAGGTGATCTCTCTACCAGCATAGCAGATCTCTTGATGCCGAGTTTATCAGAGGTCTTCACCTCGGGCCACTGCTCTCTTGGCAGTATCCAGGAAATTTCTCACATCATTTTCTGGGTGTGAACAAGCCTTTTTGTAAAAACTGCCCAAGTATTTTATCACTGGCTGAATTCAACACCGTGGGATGGAGTGGATCCTCATATTCATCTCCTCAAGTGGTCGTGCTGCCGTCTGCTCCTATCGAAGTACTTCA